TCTCGAGGCTTCAAAACCAGTGTTTTAAAAAACGCCATAAAAGGTGTTCAGAATTGACGGAAACCGAAGGCCAAAGTCATCCGTGCATTTCCCCACACCAGGAATATGTATGAAACCCCCGAACGCGAGCTGAAATGGATCAGCGTGTGTGTGTGTGTGTGCTTCGGACACAGGCCCGCGATGACAGCCAGGCGACTACGCACGTAGTCCACAAAAAATCGGCTGTCACCTGAACAGTCGTCAGCTGCCGTCCACCACACGCATTATCATAACGACCTAGCCGCTTATTATGGCAGACTTGACAGGCAGTTGGATACACGTATGCAAGTGCGGGAACTAACAGTGAGAGGCAGGATGTTCGCGCAGATGCCGCCGTATACAGCCCCACGACCGGTCACAAATTTGTCCTCGACAGTGCACCAGTGATCGGATGAGAAAATGCAAGTCGACCCACGAAATCACTAAGACCTAGAATTCCGACGAGGGGTTAATCGACCGCAGAGCCAGCCTAAAGCAACCGCTCGCTGCCTCCCAAACACGAAGAAAATGCCAGTGACGAAACCGCCAGGCAGACATCCACAGGGTTGTTTTTTGTCCTGTCTTTGTTATACTCCATGATTTGCCTAAAGCCAGGCGCATAAAATCAGACGCTAGATTTTCTTACTCAGAGATTGCCTCCCTTCGCTTATCCTCCCCCCCCCCTCCTCCTCCTCCTCCTCCTCCTCCTCTTCTTTCTTCTTCTTCTTCTTCTTCTTCTTCTTCTTCTTCTTCTTCTTCTTCTTCTTTTTCTTTTTCTTCTTCTTCTTCTTCTTCTTCTTCTTCTTCTTCTTCTTCTTCTTCTTCTTCTTCTCCCTCCTCCTCTTCTTATCTCTGCTCCCGAGCTCAACATATTCGCATACGTGGGCGTTAAAAGGCAATACCGATTTATCTGGACGGCATAATCGCAGAACACAGTCTTCGACTCTGTACATTCTACTGGACAGAATACTAAGCTCGTCGGCTATTCGCTAGCAAAAAGTTTCAAAAAACTAGGTGTTTCTAGTTTAGACGAAACTATCTCAAAGAGTCTCGGCCAGGCGGCTTCGGCAGCACAGAGAGGAACAGTCACTGGCTTGCAAAAAACTGAGATGCGATTAGCAGACAGATTCTTTAATTCCACCCGACAGTCAGTGTCCCCTCCGTCTTCATTTCCTACGGGCTGACATCGTGGCTGCTGTTGGGGGTAATTTGTCCTTTCGGGCACCGCAAAATTTTTTTTCGCCTCTTGCTACTATGTCCTGTGAGTAGAGCTGGCTTTGTTTAGCATTGGAATAGCAAGATACGCAGTGGGATTGTTGGGTATATTCCGCATACGGAAGCTCTACTTATTTCTCAGTGCACTGTGTTGCACGGATTCTGGCCTCTCTGTATAAGGCATTCTTATAGCTCAGTCAACCCGCCAGTGGGGAGGGTTTTGCGATCCTCGTTTTCGGGAAGAGGTCAAAGGGGGGAATATTTGCTTTCAGCTGCGTACAGCCTGCATCGCGCGACACCTGGAGTCGCATTCTCAACGCTGTCCAGGTGCGACACATAGGAAACTGCGCAGGGTCAGGTTTCAAGGAAAGAATGTCTATCGCCTAACTATTACAGGCAAATCCAGAGATCGTTTCCTTCTTCCTAGAGGTCAGAATAGCCTCTCCCGGTGTAGTTATCATTGTCAGCTGGTCATACCCTGAACCTAGGCACCAAAGTCCATCCTGGTGTATTTGGTAATTCAGCCAGAAGCTCTAGTGGTTGATCAGGAGTTGACGTGTTGGCAGCTGAAAGCGGAAGCATGTGAATCCATGTAGTTGTATCAACTTGGCCTGATTTCGGAATGAGATACAGACTTCCCGTTATGTCATGGAGTTCCGGTCAAGAGCGGCTACAGACGAACAGTGTCGAATTCGGACAAATACTCGGAGTGTCCGTTGCAGCTGTCTGGCACCGAACGACATGAATCGCGGTATATATGGAAACCTCAGCCACCACCAACAATTATCTAAACAGCGCGGGCCAATTATTCTACCCTGAAGGGACCATCTCAAGAAGCACCAACATCGATGACCAAATTGCAACCGGGAACTACACAACCAACGGAAGGTTTGTTAGGTCTCTATTCAACGCATGGAATCGCGGGAGTATTCCCCTTATTATCAAAGCAAACAATAGTGAACCCTACCCTTGACGATGCATTTGTACATTGCAGATATCTGAACAACCAACAAAAACCAGGCAGATCGGATGCGAGGCGTTCAGCCAAACACGATCTCTTGAGAATGGTAAAGGTGTGACGATATGAACGGACTCCGTGCTGGAATGCTCGGCGTATTTTCAGCTCAGGATGTTATCTCGATTTCGATGGGCCAACCGGGCCGTGAAAAGGAATAATGGCCGCCTGGCACCGGCCCTCGTCACCAAAGTAGTCAAAACAACGTTAAAAGGACACATTGAAATAACTGAAGCCAACTGGGAAATCCCTTGGGTGGAATTGGCAGGCATTGCAGTATGCTGTCAAATCCGGAACTGTAACCATCGAAGAAGTTTCTGGAAATAACGATGATCGGCGGCCTGATCTCACGCTACGAATGCCCAGTCGTGCTGGATAAAACCTGACTTCTGCATCAGTAGGCAACCCCCCCCCCAATCCACCAACGTGCGTAGAGATAAACGGCAAACGGTGAGGTGTCGCGGCCGAGGACGTCAAGGGTAGCGCACATCCAAGTAGCGAAACACTGGAAAGAGATCCTGGCTAACGTTGATCTGAATAGGGTCGTTAGCAAGTCACGATACTCATCCGCACATAAAGGAAGAAGAAACGTCAAGTGGGCGAGAAGGTATAATGGACAAAGATGGGAATTAGAAAGGCGTATAATAATAGTTAATTATACAAGCATGATGAGTTACAGCAGTGGAGTAACTTGTCTGGATGGAGAGGCGACACCAACATGCCAGCTGAGTAGCCGGTGGGGAACGCAGCGCTGTGGGCAACTGCAGAGAAGGGCCGAGGGAGGTGCCGACGTAGAGAGGGGGGAAACGATACGAGCGTCACGGTACGATGCGGGAAGAGGGGTCGGCGGAAGTAGAAGGAAGGGACACCGGCCATCTTCAACAGCACGCGGTTACGCCACCTCCATCCTAGGTCCGCGCGCCGAAAAGTGTCTCCTCATTCAAACAACCCTATCGAGGTCGTGGGACGTTACAGAGGAAAACTCCGCGATTGATTAATTGCACGTGCTTTGTCCCAGTTTGAACGGAATGTGCTGTCACGGTTGGATAAACATCGACTCAGAGAAGAGTGTATAGAGTGAAAGTTGTGAACTGCATAGAAGATGGGATGACTGTGATGAGTAGCGTAAAAATAAACGATGTAATCCAGTAGCCCTCAAAAAGTCAAGGCGAGGTGACAGTTCCGCACGACTTGACTCCCGAGAACCTGTTTCGTTAATGCAGAACCCACACCAACGCACGCGCGAGGCCCGAATCGGTCTTGCCAGACACTTAAGCTTTGACTGCATCTGCGTCTCCATCGCGGGATGAATGAATACCCATTTTCAGCAGTTCACTCCAGTAGTTAACAAACTCTCTTTGCCTGTCACATTCTTCCCGTACTTCTGAGTATCGCATTGGCGCATTTGGACACATGCGTGATCAATAAAAAAAAACTGGGACGTTACCTGGCGCTCAAGCGACAGCGCCTGTGGTGAAGTTGGCCGTCGTCGATAATGATGACGGACAAACTCTCGGACTGACACGTACCCTGTGAAAAGACATTCTGTCTACTTGGGTCCCCTCTTCGATGTCTTCCGTTGAAGTCTGCAATCAAACCTGCTGGGCACTGGTCTTTATGTCAAGTGTACGTTTGACCCTCACTGTTGTGGTTAGGATCTCACTCGATCCTATTCTGTCCGCTCGTCAGCTTGCCACTGACGACAACGAACGTTGTGTCATAAGACATACAGCACATATAATACATATGCAACTCACTGAGGCCAGACGCAGACAGCTGTTTCCAGGTCATTACAGATTATTAGTACGTCATAGGCCACATCAAGTGTGGTATATAAACATGCCAAGTAAGCGATTGACCCTGCACACTGAATCTGCGCAGGGGAGAGAGGGTTAACTGTGCATATGGTTTAAGGGTTTTTTCCCCTATGAGTCGAATTCGCTGACTTATTGTCTTTTATCCGACAATATTCGAAAATAATGTGACTAGAACCGGAAAAAATATAAAAATCTGTTGGAGCTGTACTGGCATAAAAGCGTCTTGTTTTAGTGTGCTAAAATGCGTCTGAAAACACAAAAAAACTTTGAACAACAGTTTGATGTCAAGTTTCATCCTCATGTCCAATTCTTTGTTCTTCTCACTTGAATTGACCCATGGACATTTATCGTTTACGTCCAAGAAAAAGTCTCTCGGTATTCAATAGACCTTATCACGAAGTCAGGGTAACTCTCTTCGAACACCCTCGCAGGAGCTCGAAATGGTGGAGGAATAAAAACTATATGGTGCCGTTTATGGGGAAATAAGTGACACTCGGTCAAACTGTCAAAGACAGGGAGCATGAAGTCAGAGGGTTACATATTCTGGTCCCGTCGGGGTCATCAATGCGGTTAAACCACATGTTAGTCTCTCGGGCTTGTGTTCCCATTAGTGTTCTGCGTCGGGTCTAACGATCAGCAGACTTAACTGAGCGCCAAACAGAAGAGAGATGTCGAGTTGGAGGAAGAATCACGCTACTGTACACCAACACTCAAAGTGGTCCTGATCCAAAGCAAATTTCTGTCTCTGTGAATTTTAAATCATTTAAAAACGGAAAAAGGATATGAAGTAGCTGCAGGTTGCTAGGTAGTCTTAACAAGTCCCCTGCATCCTTCCGAATGATATCTGAGCATCTTTATCTCCTACGGCCAAGTTTCTGCTTCGGGATGTGGTTAGGACATGAAGGACACATGATGGCGAATAAACCAGGAATTGTTATTTCGCTCTCCGTCTTCCCTGTCGTCATTTCTCATTTCGCACCAAAGTTGACAAACTTCTGTAAAATGTGTGAACTGGCAGAGGGTCAGTCGCATTTACCAGGTAGTATTGAAACTGTCTTGTTGGAGAACTAACTGTCAATTAGATTCTGCCTCGTCTAATTGCAAACATGCCCAATCCGCCCAGATTTAATATATAGATATAATAAATTTGCTTTATTCCGAATCCCTAGACCTCTTTGAACGCAACTCAAACTGTTGCTGAGAGGATGGGAGATCATTACAGTTAATAGGAGACGAGTATATAAAAGTTAGTTTTTTTGTAGGCGTTTACGTAATATAAAGAAGTTTTGTAGCCAAGTTGCCTCTGATGTGAACGCTACCCGAGGTCTTTTGAGGTCGCTGACAGCAAAATTAGCCCTAGACCCTGACTCCTCCTTCTTCGTTAATCCGTTCCGTCGCCTGGTGCTCGTTCTGATTCGGTAGTTCCAAGTCCCCTTTCCTGTAGTTGATGCGTTCTGTGGACAGGGGGGATAATTACATCGTAATCCCGCATCGCACCGTTAAGTGGTAGGGTACGGGGATAAGTACTCTCCTTCTTGCAGGTGGTTTTGTGATAAACTCAAGAGGGTGTTGGGGTTACGGTTAAGAGGTGTGGGCTGGTTGGGTATGGTGGTACACCTTGGCGCAGGTTTGCCCGTGTCATATACCTGCGCTCCCTCCCACCTCTCGTCTTATTGACTCTGCCTTGATACCGGACTCGGGTGGGTGACATAGGAGAGAGTGCGGTAGACGCAGTTTAAGCCACCAGCATTAAGAATTAAACGAGGCTCAAGTCGTCGTCCCTGCGCCCACCCTATGTGTGACACACGGTTAGCATTGTCGGAATCGACGATCGAGCTGTCTTAAGGATGATCATGACTAGGATATGGGGATCGGCACCCACTGAAATACAGGACCAAGCTACCTGAAGTACGAGGAAGATACCTATTCCCCTTGTGCAGCCCTGTTTGTTTCTCTTAACAGAGTGTTCGCTATGTTAACTGACACAGACAGAAGACAGAAAGAGCCATTTTTGACTTGCGTGTCGTTTTGTGATTCTAGATATTCCCAGCTGCAGCTTGGATGGGGGAGAGTGCGTGTGTACGCTCATGGCTTAGCTGATAAAACGTTCAACTCGAGGGGACGCAAGTTCATCTATCCGAACTTGTTAGCGTTGGCTGGGAATATAGCTGGTTCAGGTCAGGAAATAAAACAAAAATCGATATTTCAGTGTCTCTTATCTTTGTCCGTAATCCTCCTGGATGTATGATTGGTCGTAAACCATCCGATCGCTAGCGAGGACCCCTACAGGAGCCCCAAGGCCAGGCGGAAGGTCCTGTTCCCTTGTGCAGACAAAATCCTCTTCGGAAGACGGAGATACGATCGCTGGACCAAGAAATCTATTTGCTTGACTTTTTGGATTTTCCCTCGAACACATCATCTGAGGCAGTCACGGATAAGGATAATTGCGACACCAGCACGCTGTTGCCAAGCCACCACGTGGTTTCTATAATTAGCAGCCTCAGTATTAAGAAACTAAATCGTGAAGTCAGATAAGCCACTGGTTGGTAGAAAGCAAACGAAACATAAGCATGGCCTTTTTAGCATCTATACTGGAGTGGTGAGGACGTACAGTAGGTGGGCTAACTCATAAAATGTCAACAGAAATTCCGGAATACGTTTTCGTTTCGAAAAGATTAATTAAGCAGGGTTGTAAAACTAATCATCATGCAGCATAATTCTATAATATTTCAGTTACTCCAGGATGCCGGCTTTCGAAAGAAGTTTTGTTCGGCTGCATGTAAAAACCATACTCCGTAAAAATGACTTCTTATGTAGCATGTATTTTTCTCTTTGTTCTCGGACACCCTTAAGGATTCAATTATATTTCATGGAAAACATGCATAAAAATATCCATGCTTCTACTCATTAGATAGAAAATTACGTATTCTTCCAATTTTATATTCGAAGGATGAGTATAATTCGGTTTTCAAAAAGTTCCTAATTGTGAGATTTTTCAGTACCGTGAAATGGCCGTTCATAAAACGTCATGTCTCTGCATTTACCAATGTGGTTTGTAAAGTTGACAACATGGCTCAAATAAACTGCTAAATTTTATGAACCCCATATAGTGGCCTCTTAATACCATAGAGAAATGCATAGTTTTCCGTACGCGGAAAATGTAGGGCTTGTAGGTTGGAGACCCTGAATGCAAGTGCAACGGCAGGTCGGGTTCAAAATTATTCCTGAATTGGAAACGTTTTCGGAAACCGAATTATACTCATCCTTCGAGTATAAAATTGGAAGTATATCTAAGTTTCTATCGAATGAGTAAAAACAACACTGGGACAAAACCACTAATCCCCCCCTGAAATACATGCTTATGTGGTTGCTACTTCCGTTCGTTGGGTAGACATCTTCATTCGGTTGTCGATCTCTCAACTGATAATTTTAATAGTATGTTTACCACATTCATTTCCCTGAACTGCAGTGGTTCGGCCGACAAGGTTGGTCATTTAACCCTAACAGAATACACTTGAATGTACGTTCACCTTGGTTGTTTCCTTGATGGCAGCGTATGCCCTAGAGACTCGCATTAATTTAATTCCGACGACATAATGAAGTTTTACTGCTTTTGATATGGTACAAAGTGCAGTCATAATGGTGTATGTTTATACAGGCAATATTGTAAAGATAAATGATTCAGGGATTAGAAAGCAATACCCAGTTTAGACATGTTACTGTGGGTTTGTCCGGCTGGCACCTAGCATTAATTTTATCCGGCAACATAACTGAGTTTTGCTTCTTTTGATATGCTACAAAGTACAGACATAATGCAAGATTATAAAGATACGGTAGGTGGGCTAACTCACGAAATATCAACCAGAATTGCGAAATTCGTTTTCGTCTCGAAAAGATTAATTAAGTAGAGTTGTAAAACTAGTCAGCCTGCAACATAATTCTATAATAGTTCAGTTACCTCAGGACGCCGGCTTTCGAGTGAACTTCCTTCCGATCGCATGCAAAAACCATACTCCGTAAAAAATAACTGCTTAAGTCGCATGCACTTTTCACATTGAT